GACTGGTATTTTTCATGACTGGTTTGGGTTTTCACTGTAGAGTACTTGTGGGCCATTCCATTGTGACTGGTGGGACATTTTACTACAGAATGTGATCAATCTTGAATTTTAGCTATGTCCTCGGAACTAAAACCAAAACACTTAACCTGCGCGAACGATGTTTTTGTGTTGAAAAATATCAATTATACGCTTTCGTTTTCATTAAAAATGAGGTTTATATAATCTTCATAGAAATATTATTTTTGATTTTTTTTAATATTTTCCAAGAGATTAATGAAATGTAGTCATTTAATGAATAGAAGTTACTACCGAAATAAAGATAATTAGGGCACATTTAAATTTATGTCGTTTTCCTCCTTTCAATTGAATGACCCTTACATAGACGTATGTATCTAGTACATATGTACATACTAAGTAAATGCATATCGTCACCTGAAATTCGGAAAGACGTAACAACATCGTAACTGAAATGGAAAAAGTCGTAACTAATAGTTTTAATTTTTTTCATTAAATGATGTGGGAGTTGTTATTCGATGAAATCCATCATAACAATCAAATACTAAATTTTTAATTTTTTATGACTCATGACTTTTTGAATTTCAGCTACGATGTTTGTTACGTCTTTTTGCATTTCAGGTGATGATATGTATGTATGTACATATGGTATGTGTACTAGCAACATATAAAATACTCTTTTGGATTTGCTCAACCGCGTAGTTGAGTAAAAGTTGGTTTTGTATTTTTGTGCGTGTGTTGCACACTTCGTCACTTTTGCAATGCGGCAGTAACTTTTGCACGGCTTCACGCGCCGGCCAACACTTCAGCTGCAATTGCAGAGCTAAGAGGAACGTTATGAAGACGGTGGAAGGAATAGGTAAAACTTTACTTGTAATATATATATTTTTTCTCCTCTACCTTTCTAATTTATTTCGTGGACATTGAATGCAATTATTGAGGAATCCCTAGGATCTTTTGGTGTTTTAGCATTCGCATTTGAAAAAGCCTGAAAGAGTCAAGATATTTATAAAAATATATACCTTATTTATACCGAATTGTTCACAATCAAGAGAGAAATCGTT